TCTCCTCCTCCCCCCGCCACGCAGGAAGGCCACTTACATCTTCTCTTCCTCCCGCCGCCGCCGCTTCTCCTCCTCCACCTTCTGCTTGCGCAGCTGCTCAGCCTCCTCCTTCCGCCGCAGGTTCTCCAGGCGCTGTCTCTCCTTCTCCTGAGACAGGGCAGGACAAACCTGACCTTGCAGGCCACCCTGCAAGGGGCTGAGGCTAGCGTCACCTCCCTCCTGCTCCTCGGGCAGCACGAGAGCCAGCCTCCAAACCACTGTGCATGCAGGGCCATGGCTGGGGGAGGCAGGGCAGGAAGGTGGCTCCACAGGCGGCTCGCGGGGACAGCTGCCGCACCGTGGGGTGCAGCACTGCAGCACTAGTATGACCATGCTCGCAGCTCGCGCCACCCATGCGTCCCCTGCCCTTCTGTGCACGGCAACTACTTTGCAGTATGTGAGGAAATCAGAACGCTGTCAGGGAGCACCGCAGGCACGAAGGCAGATTAAGCCCTGCAGTCTCTCCTTTGCCACACTTCCTGTGACATGGCCACATCAATAAACAGAAGACAACCTCGTGAAAGCGCCAGAGGCGTGTGGCACAATGCTGCTGCCGAGGTCCCCAGCCCTCTGGGCCGCAGACAGGACGGGGACAGCCACGCTCCTCCACCTGCCCTCTGTTCTTCTGCTCCCCGTGCTCCTGACCTCCCTCTCCTCCGCTTTTCCTGGCCAACATCTGGGGCCGTAGCCACCGTCAGCAAGGCCCAGGGCAGACCCCGGTCCCTAAGCCCCAGCTGGAGGACGGGAAAGGGAGCCCCAGACAACTAGAAAGCCTGGGGTGATCAGGAAAAGCGTGGTGGGGCTCCGCTCTAGCCTGGGGGTACCACTCAGCCACCTCAGGCCGACTGACTGCTGACAACACGCTCTGGACAGGCCCTGCCACCATGGACCCAGACGTGCGGCTGACACTGGCACCGCAGAAGGCGGACGGGAACCCACGGCCCAAGTGGAGCCGGCCACGCTGCAGGAGCAGCAGTGACAACACCGGCGCTCTGTGAGATGTAACCAGACCCAGAGTTTCACTGCGAAGTGCGGAGAATGGCGGAGACGCAATCCTGACCACACAGTACGCGAATGACCAGAACGCCTCAGCTGTGAGGGAAGATGCTGGACAGAGTGGGGCTATGAGACTTCGCAGCAGCCACGGCACAAGTGCCTCAGGGAGGCCTCACAGACATGCCCGGGACAGCGAGAACGGGCAAACCTCAGCAGAGACAGAGAACCGGATGGGAACTTCAGGCGAACAAATTTAAATTCAATGGCTTGGCCCAAGAGCACAGCAGAGAAGAGACGCTGAAGGTGCAGTCCTGAAGCCAAGCGACCGAGCTGAGAGGCAGAGAAGCAGCCAGGTTGGCAGCGCCTCAGCAGCCGAGACAGCAGCGCCCGGACAGGAGGAAGACGCGAGGACACGTGCGGACACTGCTACGAGGGCGGACCACATGACAGGAAGCCACTGGGGAAACAGAATGTTTCCCTCCCGAGCCCTGCCCTTGGAGGCGCTCAGCAGCCGAAAGTGGCAAGTGTGCCGTGTCCTAGCAGGGCCGCCAAGCCGGTGCCTTCTGCAGGTGACTCCACACAGCCAGCGAGGCCAGGGCAGCCTGGCACCATGCAGAAAGCAGCTCTGGTGGTCTGTGCCCAACAAACCCGGACCTGTGGCCCTGTGAACAGCCCGTCACACACCCCGCGGGTGCCTGGGTGCCCCCCCATGTCCCTGGGACACGCCCCCAAGATGTTAGTGCTGGAAGGGGCTGGCAGGTGGGCGACAGGTTAAGAGAGGAGGAGGAGGAGCAGGGTCTACTCACGACAAAGCTGTACTGTGGAGAGGAGGGCACAGAAGCCACGAGTCAGTGCCAGCGGGGGCAGGCCCCTCCCACAGGGCAGGCCCCTGTGAGGCCCCGCCCACAGCCCCGTGGCGTTGCCTGTGCTCCCACTCTGGACCCACAGGGCCAACCAGGTCTCCAGGCTGTGGCCCAGATCCCCTGTGTCAAGGGAGCCCAAGGCCAGAGGCTTAAGCTGCTCCTGGGCCAGGGCAGGACACTCAGGGCCCGCAGCAGCCATGGGGACCCTCAGGCGGGGGCAGAAGAAAGTGGCCCTCACCTTGGGGTCCACGCGCAGTGGGGTGTTGCGCTTGATGAAGGACTTCATGACAGTGCTGCGGGGTGCTGAGGTGGGTGTCATGAGCAGCTGGTTCCTCTGCACTGTGTGCAGAAAGGTCCGCAGCGGCCGCACCACCTGCTGAGGTCCAGGCCCAGTCAGTGGGGCAGCTGGTGGGGTGGGGTGGGACGGGCCGCAGAGGTGGGGGTGCGCACCTTGTTAGCTGGGCAGGGAGGGGAGGGCGTCTTGTTCTTTGGGGGCTGCAGCTCCTCATCCACCAGGGAAGGCTCCTCGTCTGGCTCGCTCATCGCCCGCTTGTAGCTGCGCTTCCTCCTGCCAGCCGGGGACAGTGTCAGGGCAGGTGGGGCCTCCCAGGGCACACTCACCCCTCGCAGCTGGGCCCAGGGGCACACCTGACGCTCTGCGGTGGCTCTCGGTATCCATCGACTTCGTCAGCTGCAGCCCCTGTGGAGACAGCAATGACAGCGAGGAGAAGCCAGCAGCACAGGAAGGGCCAGGCAGACTGGCCAGCAGTGGCATAGGGCCTCAGCACCTCTTCCTGGAGGGTCCCATCCACAGCCAGCACCCTGTGCATGCCCAGCGCCTATGGCGGGAGGGTCACAGGGCAGCCGCCACAACTGCCTGCTGCAGGGAGCACAGAAGCTGAGATTTGCACACAACCACAGCCCCCAAGCCCGCTGGGCCACACGCAAGGCGCAGGGTCATAACTGTTCTTCCCACAGCAGCCATGGGGCAGCGGGCCAGCATGACCTATGTACGTCCCCAAGTGTAATGGTGGCCATGTGCATGCTCTCGCGGTGACAGTGCACTTCCCTGGGTGTGAGCCAGAGCCCAGAGCCACAGCCCTCCTGCCTACCCTGGACATAGTGAAGGCCACAGGGCACAGCAAGGGACAGGGAAAGCAGCGACCCCCGAAGGGCCTTCCCGACCCCGCGGGATGGCTCAAGGCCTGACAGGCACCTGCACACCACACCTGATCCAGGTCCTGCCCCCGCCATGAGGACACGTACAGCGCCTGCAGCAGCTGCACCCGCAACCCAGGGCCCACTGGGTCCTACTGCTCTTTGGGCTTCCTGCACAGGGCAGGGCGGGCCTCACCTTGCTGCCCTTCGGGGGGCATCTCAGGGTCACTGGGGCCGGGCTGTGAGTCAGGTGTGTGCACGGTGGTCTCGGTGGCACTGTGGGGCAGCAAGGTGTCCCCACCGCTCCCAGGCACCTGCGAGAGGAGCCAAGGCACGGGGCTCAGCTGGGGTCGCCCTGCTTGGGGCACAGCGCAGAGGTCCCGGCCCCGCCTCCCTCCCCAGCCTCCTTACCTGGGGCTTAGCTGCTGCCGCTGCAGGTGCAGCCTCCCTGCTGGGCTCCTCCTGCTTGGGGCTGAAAGCACAGTGCATGCTGCGGGAACCCGTGGGGCTTCTGCCTCTGCCTCAGCTCGCCCAAGCAGAGCTTCAGCCAGGGAAGCAGCTGCCGCACCCGGAGCCTCCTGTCTGCGCAGGGCCGAGGACACTTCTGTGCACTGCCACCGGGAAGGGCGAGGAGAAGGTTCCCGGGACACCGGAGGTGCCCTCGGAGGAGTCCTGGCTGCTCTCCCCCTCCTCCGCCTCAGCCCAGCGATGAGAGGGCAGGCCTGCTGCCCACCCTGGCTACTGCTGTGACACACCCCACTGGCACAGGGCCGAGCACGCGTGGGCTACAACCTCCAACCCTGTGAGCCGGAACGACCCCGCCTCTCCCAAGTGCACGAATCTTGGGTTCTTGGTTCAGTGCCACGAGCTGCCAGCAGTCCTGGCCGCAGCTCCACTTAAGCCTCCCGGCCCGGGAACCCCCAACCCGACAGGCAGGGCAGGCAGCCCTCAAGGCCGCCCTCCAAGGCCACTCAGCCTCCCCCACCCTCAGCACAGCATGGCTTGGCTGGCTGGGGCAGGCCGAAAGCACCCGGGAGAAGGAGGCAGGTGCTTCCACCTATTGCCCACACCCCACATGCGGCATCCAGAGGGCCCCAGTCCTGGACCGGTACTCACCCAACCTTCTGGGGCACCTCGACATGCAGGAGCCTCTCCAGGTAACTGTGACCTGAGGGGCAGCAGGGCAGAAGATGCTGTCAGAAGCTGACCAGGAGGCCCCAGAAATTAGGGGACAGACAGCGGGAGACTCCCCGGAACAGACACGTGGGACTGCGCTCTGTGCACCCTCGCCCAACGCAAGCAGCTTATTCACTCAACAAACAGTGCCAAAGAAGTCCTGGACCCTAGACCAGGTCTGGGGATCAGATGGCGGCCAGAACCAACAGTCACAAGCTGGGCTTCACAGCAACCAAGCAACCCGGGACGCGCATGGTGCAGGAAAGAGCAAAGCGTCTGCGGAGCCCAGGGCGACTGGCTGGAGGTACAGGGGTTCAGACAGCAGAGAAGGGTTCCAGACCTCAGGTCTGAGCGCATCCTTAGCCCATGGCCCTCAGGAGGTGTCTGTCCACTGGGCACTCAGTGCAGCCCTTCCCGCCAGGCCAACACTGGCCTCAAGCAAGGCAAACCACTCGCTGGCCCTACACAGTCACAGCAGAGGTGTGTGCTCCACACAGGAACATCCGGGGAGTGTGTCTCACTAACCCCAAGCGACCCTGTGAAGAAGCGCAAGGCCCGAGCTGCAGGCCCAGGCCCTGGGAAAGCACAGGCCACCTCTTGCAGTTCAGGAAAGGCGGCGCCTCGCCATGGCAGAGGGATCTGAGGGGCCGCTTGCCCGATTCCGCCTTCCCTCTCGCACTCACCAGCACACACTTGCACTGTGATGAGCTGCCTGCCACAGGGCCCAGAGCTGTAAGCCAGACCCTCCTCCCGTGCCAGGATCAGCTCTGCGCCTGTATCCCAGCAACAGGACACTATCACACGGCTGGCTAACCTTGGGTATGCAGAAGCGGTCCTTAAGAGTAGGCAAAGCCTGCCATTTAAAACTACACATCTGTAGAGAACTAAAAACTTGAGCCCAAAGGGACAGAAGTAGAATTTTGAAAAGCATGTATGCGTCATCAGAAGCATCAGTCTCCTAATCCCTAACATGCTTCTAACAATCAGAAAACAATCACCAGTGTGGCACGGCGCATTGGGGAGAGGCAGGGCCTGCAGCCACACTCAGCGCGCTCACCGGTGAAGGTGCCAGGCAGGAATCAACCCACCCTTCTGCGTCCGTGCCCAGCAGTCACTCGGTGCTGGGTGCGCAGGTGTGGACACGCACAGCTCCTGGGCAGGCTGCGAAGCGCCCCCGTCTACCTCTGCAGGCGAGCCCCTGCACACCACAGCCCAGGACCGAGTCTGCAGTCTGCTCCCGGCATAGAACAATGCTGACTCCTCGCTACACTTTTGCTTTATAGGGTCTCACTCCACGGCTTGGACTCCTAGTGGCCCTATTTTCAGCCTCTCCGGTGCTGGGATTACAGGCATGTGCCACCATCCCCAGTCTTAGCAGGTCCCGAAGCGGGGCTGGTGAGGCAACGGTCCCTTTGCTTGCCTAAGCAGGTGCTTAGCCCACTGAGCTATCTCACAGGCTCCATACTTTTGCTTTGGAAATGATCTCTGTTATAAACATCTTGGCCACAGGCAGGGACAGAGACAAGTCTCAGGGAGCCCAGGGGACCTAGGAATGTGGGCAGAAGGGAACAAGCAAGCAGCTAGGACCATGAGGCACCATGGTACAGAGAGTGAGGTAGGAAGTGGGCGCCCTCTCACCCGGGGTCTGCTCCTTCCACATCACTACTGCGACCCCTCCCCCAGGCTGGGGACAGCGGACCACTGGAGGCCGTATGACCTCTATCAGCACAGAACTCGGGAATATTAAGCGCCCCGGCATGCATGCCAGCCCAAGTAGGGGGGCAGGGAGGGCTGCCCCCAGTGCAGGACATAGCGGGCACCCGAGGCAACTGGGGTCCCTGCACCTCCTGCCGTCCCAAGCAGAGGCTGAGCCGGAGTCGCAGACACGGCCACCTGCCAACCAACTAGCAGTCCTGAGTGAGTGAGCAAGGGGCCAAGGGGCAGAGCTTCAGACGGCAGCACTCGGAGGCTGAGGCAAAAGCGCTGCAAGCTCAAGCCCAGCCTGGGCCACTACCTGATCTCAGCTGCAGGGCAGGGGAGCACAGCTGGGTGTGAAGGCCCTGGGCTCGATCCCAGACCATAGCCAGCAAACAAGAACTATAGGCCCGGGGCTGTGCCCCGAGACTGCCCGCCCCCCAGCACCAGGCTGGGCCCGAGGGAATAGCCACAGCAGACGTGAACAGCCTGCCTCGGCCTTCCAAATCTAAAGCAGACCCTGCACCAGGCTGTGCGATCCCCTGGGCTGGGACAAGGGGTCTCTCCCAACAGGTGCCCTTCAAGTAACTGCCATCATGGCACTGCCGGGTAGGGCTCGGGCTGGCCCCCAGAGGCGCACCCCAGGACCCACTCTGTGAACAGGGAGTCCCAACAAGCAGCGGCACGTCTACCCAGCCAAGTGACATGGGCCTTGTCTTGGATTTAGGAAATCTCACGGTGCCAGGCCAATGCCAGCCACTACTCGCCACGTGTCCATGTAACCCCAGCTGTCCTCTCCTCAGTCCCCACCAGATCACCCCTCCACCCCATAACAGGGCCACCTTTTCTGTGGTACCTTGAGTGGCACAGGCACCACCTGCTGCTCTGTGCTCACGCTTCCTGCACATGCTGGCCCCCACAGACACCAGGCCCACCCGTGCTCTGCTTGTGGCTCTGGCCACTAACCCTGCCCCCAGGCCCCAGGCTGAGTTCTGCCAACCACAGAGCAGGTGGGCGTGCCACCCCTGCCAGCCACAGACATGAAGCACGGATGGAGTGAGGTCTGGAGCACACGGGGCCTTGCGCCCAGGCCGCAGCTGCAGGGCCGCCGTGCTCCTGGGCACGCAAAGCTGTCTGCCCCAGGAGCCCTCCTCGTCTCCAGACCAGGCCGGGCCCAGCCTACCCAGCCGGACGCAGCCAGCATCCACCGCACAGGGAAGGGGAGGAAATCCCTGGCTTCCCCAGCCTTAAGCGGCCCGCACCAGGGAACAGGGGCCGAGCTCGTGGCCTCAGGCATCTTTCTTACCCAGTCTGGCGGCCACTCACTCCTCCATCAGACTGGTCCCTTCTCAGGGACACAACAGTCAGATGCAGCGAGCTGGCAACTACTGAACAGGCCAACAGAGCTGGGAGTGCTTGCCCGCTGCCTGCGGAAGCTGGAGGGACAGCCCCTCACCTCCAGCTCCCCACAGCCTTGGTGCCCTCCGCCCCACCCAGCTCCACTCACAGATGATGCGGCTGGAAGCAGCGGGCTCTGCAGCCGCGTCCTTGGTGACCCTCCTGCTTGAGCTGAGGCTGGCACCTTCCTGCTTAGCCACCTGGGGGTACTCCAGGGTCTGCGTGTCATGGGGACCTGGGGCGGTGAGGCTGCGCCGCACGGGCCGGCAGCCTTCGGGAGTAAAGTTTTCTGGCTGGATGGGAACCAGCACCCGCTCACGCCATGGAGAGTCCAGGGAGCTGGGCGAGTCCTGGGGCCTCAAGGAGGCATGCGCAATCTTGAGCTTGCAGGCGGATCGTGCTGGGCCAGCACCTGGACTCCTGGGCCCCTTCGGGGTGGTCACCAGGGCACTCGCCACGACAGACTCTGGCCGCCCAGCCTTTGGTTTCTTGGGTGTTGAGTCCTCAACCAAAGTCGGGGCATCCTGCGCAGCTGCAGCTGCGGCGGGGGCTGAGGCCTGCGATGCAGCCGAGGTGGCAGTGAGCTTCATCTGCGTGAGCTGCTGCTCGGCACTGTGGTGCTCCTCAAAGCTAATCTCCACCACCAGCTTCCTGCGCTGGTCCCTGGGGGGCGCCACGGCGGGCTCCGGAGCGGCTGGTGGCCTGGAGGCTGCGGCGGCAGCTGTGGCACGGGTCACCCTCCGCAGCACAGGAGAGCCCTGTTCCCCCAACACCTTGGCCAGTTTCTCCACCCTGTCCTTGTCATGCAGGGGCTGGGAGCTCCGCCGGCCACTCCGGATCTTTCTGCGGGATGACCTACACAGCAGAAGAAAGATGGCTGAGGCAGCCCGCCAGGTAGAGAGCACCCCAAAATCTTCCTGGGGCACAGCAATCTCCCAGGGCCACCACCCTATGGAGCATCAGAGGGCCTGGAGGTACAGGATCCAGGTTCCAGTTCGAACTCTACCACATCCTGCCGGGAGACCCCAGAGCCCTGCTGGCCCCATCAGCCACCAGGAAGATGAAAGCCACAAGGGCCTCCCGCTGTCCAGGGCCAGTGTGACCTGCACAAACGTCACACTCACCTGCCGCATGTCACCTGCAAAGCGGACCTGAGGGCAAGCAGCAAGGTCCTCACTTTGTGGGGTGGGAAAGAGGGGGACTTAACCCAGGGACGCAGGGCTGTGTGAGGCAGGGCTGGGGGATGCACCAAGACCAGCGACTCCTAGACCCAGCGCCTACACCCCAGGGTCCCGTGCTAGACTTGCTCAGCAGTCCAACAGCTGGGCAGGGTGCCTGCCCCGCTTCTCTGGTCATGACCACCTAACAAAAGGTCTCTTACGTCTTTTTCTCCTGCAGGCCCAGAGCAGACACCTATCCCCAGTGCACGCACACCACACACACACTGACCCTGAGCGTGCACCCTTCCCGGACCACCTGCTTGAGCCCTGCCCTCCCACCTCTTCCGAATAGGGTCTCTGTTTTCATCCTGAACAGAGGAACCCCGTCTCTTCCTCCGGCGATTCTTCTGAGAAGGAGTCTTGGGCATCAGCTCGGGCTCTTTGCTGAATTCTCTGTTGGGTATGAGAAGGGCGACCTGTGAAGCTCCTGGGACGGCCAGCCCCACTCCCACAGCCTGCTTCCCTCCCAGCTTGCCACGCGGTGACGGGTGCAAGTCACAGCCAGCACACGGGCTTCCCTCCTCCTGGGGACATGCCAGCCAGGCAGCAAGGATGGGCAGCCTCTGAAGCACCGTCGGCCACAAGGAGCCAGCGGGGACTCGGCCTCCTCAGCTTCCCCCAACCCATGGGCTGCAGCGAGCCGGCCTCACCTGGTGAACATGCGCTCCGCCTCCTCCTGGATCTCCCTGAGCCACACGAGATCCTTGTTGTCCATGTTGCACACGAAGTCCATGAGCTTCTGGTCGCAAAGGTCCAGCAGGTGCAGGGGTCCTGGGGCAGTCGTCCCCATGGTGGCTCTGTCTAGTGTCAGCAGGGACAGAGGCACAGGGCTCAGGGGTGGGCCCCAGGACCTTCCCCAGGCCAAGAGCTGCCAGCCCACAGCGGCCACACATCACCCCCAAAGACCCAGGGCCTGAAGCAGGACCCTCGCCGCACACAGAGCCCAGGTCCTGACCAGTGCTCTCGTGGCATGGCTGTCCCTAGCGCTCGCAATGACACGGCCTTACAGGAGGGCTTCTGATGCCAGGCGCAGCCACCTGCTTTCCTGAGCTGGGGAGAGCAGCAGCCAGCCAGTCACCCTCGCAGGCCACTCCGACCCTCCGCAGGTGCTAACCATGCTGCCACCCTGAGCCACCTGCAGGTGAGCCACACAAGTGTGCCACTCTAGAGCCAGTGAGCAGGGTGGGGCACATCGCAGGAGCACACAAGGAAGAAGGCAGAGACAGCTCCTCAGTGCCCCACAGCCTCAGGGTGTGGGGGCAAACGAGAGCGCCTTGCCTTGCTCTGAGAACACCTGTCTACATGTACTCGATCAGGAGAAACGCACAACAACTTAAGTCTTTCTCAAAACTCTGGGCAAGCGCACAGCCTCCTCAAGACCCCGCCAGAGGCCACGTCAAGGGCCCCAGGCGCGGCCTATCCTATTCCTTTCGGGAGTTTCACCGAGTATCCTACCGGGTGAACGAATGTGAGCTGTGAGGGGCACACCTGCAGAAGGGCGCCCACGGCAGTGACCGACACTCCAAGGCAGGAAGAACACGCACGGTTCAGCCAGCCCCCGGACGCTGCCCTGCAGCCCTGCACCGAGGCTGGGTGCGACCCCGACACTAAGTCAGGCTGCAGGCCTGGGGACTCCCTTGGCCTGACTTGGGGGCACAGTGGCCTTGTTCTTCAGACAGACTCTGCCCTCCATCTGGAACAGGGTCTCCTAGTTTGTGTGGCTTCAATCTTGAGGGAGGCCTGACCACCAATCTAAAGTAGCCCCTGTAAGAGGTAAAAAATACTTTCAGTTGGCCAGTATTTCATTAACTGCTCTAATAATCCCTTATTCTAAGTCCTTTTTTTTTTTTTTTCTTTTTGCATAACCGGGGATTGAACTGAGGCCCTTGCGCTTTATTCTACTGAGCCATCTCCCGGTCCCCTGTCAGTCCCCTTAATTAGCAGAAAGGATGCCTGGGTTATACAAAGACTCCCTCAAGATAAGGTTCCAGGGTAAAAGGCTAACTGCTAAACAAGTCTTCTGCAATCCCAGGAAGCCAAAAGGCTAAAAATAAGTATAAAGAAAAATACAGGTGTGTGGTGGTGCACACCTGTAATCACAGCACTTAGGAGGCTGAGGCAGGAGAACCACTGTGAGTTCAAGACGGTGGCGGGTAGAGGGAAGCTACACGATTGAGTTCAATGACAGTTTGAGCTACACAGCAAAACCCAAAACCACACAAGAGAGGGAGCAGGGGCTAAGAAGGGAAGTGGGGGAACAGGTGTGGGGTGGACATTGCTTGGGACAGACCAAATGAACCCTGGGTCCCAGGCTGTGGAAGGAGAGAGGGGCTCCTGGGAGCTATGAAGAAAGCCACACAGCTTCTCCACCAGAGGGTGCCTGCCTCTCTAGAAACCACTCTTACAAGAGTTTGGATTAAAACTCCATCTCCTGCTGCCTCTGCGTCCAGGTCCGTTTTGGAGGGGGCCTGGACAAGCGAGATCATTTCTTACACCCCTGGGCACAATCTCGCCCACGGACCTCAGTCCTCCGCAGAGCACCAAGGGAGGCGTTGTCTGTTTACTGCCAGTGTGTGCCCGCTGAACACCGCACCCCGGCAGGGACCTGGCCCTGTGCGTGAACCGACCCTCACTAGCTGGCCTTGGGCTGCAACCCCCCCCCCCCCACCACACCGAGAGAGCAGAACAACCGCTGGGCACAGGTTGGAGCAAGTTAGGGCAGGGTGACACCCACCCACCAGCCCTGGATGCCAAAGGCGGCACCAACCTGGGCAGGGCCAACCAGGCAGATGCCAGGCTCTGGCAAAGGCCCCAGCTCTGCCACCTGCGACTCACCGCCAGCCCGTCACTCGCGGAGCCCTCTGCACCCAGAGCTCGGCCCATCAGTGCTGGGCCCTAGTTCAAGGCTAACGAGGGGAAAACCGCTCAGGGAAGCCGCAGGTTTGCAGAGGAGCTAAAGAGAGCAGCAACACCTGGGAACCTTCTCAAGTATTTGCTTAAAGGGGAACGGGAATGAGCACTTCAGAACAGGCTGCGAGATGCCGGGGGTGGAGGCGCACGCCTATAATCCCAGCTCGCGGGCGACTGAGGCAGGAGGTTCGCTGCGTGATCCAGGCCAGCCTGGGGTGCAAAGTGAGTTCAAGGCCGGCCTGGACTACACGGCGAGACCTTGTCTCAAACGCAAAGCATTAAGCTCCAGCGAACAGTAAAAGGCGGTCTTCAGCCCGAGCACAAAGCGAGCTCCTGACAGCCTCGAGGAAGTGGTCCCTCCACTGCACAAAGCTTTCGGCCGCGCCCCGCGCCCCGCGCCGAGCCGGCCCCCCGCCTTCCTCGCGCCTCCGGCGGTTTTGGGGCTGCAGGAAGTCGCGCACCTCTCAGGTGTCGTAACACCCCTGTGAGTCCTACCCAAGCCGAGGCCGGCGCCGCCTCATTTTACTCTCATCACACCCCCCAGGACAGCGTGTGCAGACAGGGAAACTGAGGCAAGAGTCGCGATCACCCTGGACACCAGAGGCGGCGGCCCTGGGTCTCAACCGTGCTCTCGCTCCCCGCCCCAGCCAGGAGCGTCGGGACGGCCGCGAGGGTCCCGGGAGCTAGCCCGCAGCCTGGCGGGCGGCGGGTGACTCGGCGCGGCCTCAGCCCGCCGGGAGGGCGGTTAGCGCGCGGCTCGGGC